CCATCAGACTTTTCAGCAGGAATGCTTTATGTCAGAAGAAATTAGAGTCACATATATAGGATATCCAGAGAGAGAATATAGGAGCCAGTTTTTTTTTTTTTTTTTTTTTTTATATCCGGGAGAACAGACTCTCAAGTTTAAAGGGAAAAAAGGAAAACAACTGCTATTCAGATGTAAGAATGTAAGTAACATTGTTCCTATGAGCCTTTCCTGAGGAAAGTACTAGAACACGTGCTTCGGACAACCACAGTGAGTTCCAAAAATGACTCTACAACACTGACATAAGAACAAGTGGTAAACATTCTTAAATTGTGGATGACCAACTATGACTACATGAGGATTAAAATGAAGAGAAAAATATGTAATAGCTATTTGCTCTGCCAATATGAGTGTAGTGCAAGTGTACAAATAAGAGGAAAATGGGAAGAATATATTGAAATACTTTTTAAAGATCCATTAACTGTATCGTTTTAGAATAGGTATTGTAATTCTAAGACTAGTCTCCATGAAATGTGAAATAAAAATGAGTTATTATCAGATAGTCTAATGTGTGTCATCCTCTGTGTACTTGAAAATCAAGAGACTTGATGTGGGGTGGGGGGGAGGGGGATACAGATACAGAAGAGATACAGATGTCATATAGAAGAGATGAGGTAAAGACCCTGTGTCCTGAATTTAAATTGAAAATATCAGAATAAACTCAGGCAAAGTCCTCAAAACAGTGACCGACTCAGTAGCAATGAGTTTCACTGGCATCTAAATTATGTTCTTCGAACCCATTTCTCAATAAATAAACCAGGGTTTTTTGGAGAAAGTTGTTAGGAAGCATATAGAAGATGAGCTTGGGATATCTTGCCATACCCAACAACAAGGAAGAACTTACACAAAGACTAATAGAGTCAGGGCAAAAGAACCCATGGGCCATCTTGAGAAAGTTCCCAATAAGCACAGTTGGGATGCTGTGACCTAACATGAGGGTAATGGTTGTAATGGATTGAAACCAAATATATTTAAACCGTTGAGTTCATAATGACCTTTTTAAACTAGTGATTGGTCGCTTTCAGAGGACGGATAGAAAATCAATTAATTAAATAAAAATGAACAAGTAAAGGTAAAGAATTCAACATTTACCTTACATTTTCCATATGAATTGAACTACTGAGTAACCAAATAGTACATGAAAGGAAGTCTCTTGTTATACAAGTATTCCAACTGATAAATGAGAAAGAAGTAGCAATTTTTCACACTGAATGAATCAATAATCTAAGCAACAAACATCAATACTACTACTAACAACACAGAAAGAGGAACAACTGGATGTTATGTGGCGATGAAAGGCCACACCGCCACCTTTGGCCTTTACCAAAGCAATCAAGTATGAGGCTGCTGAGACTCTGGGTCCAGCTGCTGATTTGCAGGAAGTACAGAAGACAGAGGAACATGAGAACTATGCCGTGAATGTGCACTTGGGAAAGTCCAGACTCCCGGAAACTACAGGTCACATGGCCCAGGTCCTTCAACCATGAGGGGTAAAGGGAGTACCTATAGATGAAAAGATGTTAAAGAAATTGCCAGAAAACCAGCAAGATCCATCCATTGCTGTGTCCTTCAGCTCCAAATTATTCAACCACAAATAACTGCAAATTTGAACCTCCTAAGTTTCACGTTAAAGTGCATGGTTCTAGAAACATCTTTTACATTAAAATTGTAAGACAAAAAAAATCATCTCTGTATTGCTTGAACATTTACATTTATTTTTTTATCATTAATTCAGCCAGAGAATGGTTATCTTCTGGAGTTGGATGTTTTAAGTTTAGAAACAAAATAAAACCACCCAAAAGGTGGTCTTTTTTTTTTTTTCGGTACGAACTCCCTGTGACGTCACCCATACCCTTCCTTTTAAGTCCCACACGTATGACATGTTTATATCCGGAAGAAACAATTACTTACACCTTCCATAGCTGTAACTGAAAACTTCAGATCTAAAATTACTTATCCCAAGATTGATTTCTATATTCCTTGTTTTGATTATTTCAGGTGGCTGTCAGTATCTTTTGGAGCCAGGAGAGGGCACTGCAGAGCAGCGTAGCTCTGAGTACTAAGGACTAGCAGACCCTGTCCTTTGCAGAAATGTGCAAAGCTTTACTGCAGAAATCAGAACAACTGAAGGGATAGTAGATAATCACCATAGGCCTTCTTTATTTACTAGGGGAAAAAAAGAACAGTCAAAATATATAACTATCTAAATACATATCTAGGCTATCAAATATGCATATAGATAGATGATAGATAGATATAAATGTAGATATTTCTTCTTTTAAAACATCCTACAGCTGGAGGTGGCTGGCTGGCTTACTCGGTGGGGCATGTGACTCTTGATCTCGGGGTCCTGAGTTCGAGCCCCATATTGGGTGTGGAGCTTACTTAAAAAAAATCAATCAATCAATCAATCAATCTGAGGCTGAATCTGAAGTTCTTCTATTATACTATTTATTCTTTGGCCACTTCTGCTATTATAAAAACAGTTTTCAAGTACTTCCTTGTTCAGATTAATAGTGTATTTTATTTTAGCCAGTTCAAGTTTAGGACAAAGGAGAGCCGGCAGCCCTTTAGCAATCTTGGGCTGCACAGAAATAATAATTTTGGAATCAATATAATAAATATTATTTACTTACTTGCAGTTTCTGCAGAGGGTTTTTTGACATGAAGAACACTGCCTTCAGTGTCAGCTGCTCAGGTACAGGGCAGTAGATAAGTGACTGAATTCAGACCATCGCCTCACATCAAGGGAAAGATGACTAAGTCATGTCAGTGTCCTTCAAAGATGAAACAAGAGTAGTGGGGTCCAGTCCTCTCCTAAAACCTGCTGCCTTGGGGCCCCCGTGGCCTGGGCTTTTCCCGTGACTATGTGTGTACTTGGGTATCGAAGGGCAGAAACACCACCATGATGGGCTCCTTCAGCTGAGTCTTCTGTCTCTGAAAATAACTTTAAATAACATTCCTTGGGAGATAGGCTGTCAGCGTTAGGAGGTTAAATCAATGCCAAAAGTCAGGGGAGGTGAGGAGACTTAAGAAAGTCACCTTCGGGGGAGGTGAGGAGACTTAAGAAAGTTTCACAATACATCATGGTAAACAGCCTTTCTTGCGCTACCCTGAAAATGTAATTTCTGGAAAAATTCCATCCACTCTTAGCTCCTTGTCTACACATGAATTTATTCTTCCAAGAGTTCTGGTGAATAATGAAACCAATTCAGTTTTTCATTGAGAAAATATAAGTGCGCCATCTTTCCTCATATGAGGGAAATTGCCAATGTGTCCAGTGATCTTCCCCTTAATTGCAGATCTTGCTATGAAATATGAAAATTATATTGCCGGTTCTGGTGTTCTCTAGGTTGTCAGGTGTGACTGAAAAGACCAGTTTGTGCCCACCACTTCCTCTCTAGCTGTGGCCATGTGGACACATGGGTTGGTGGTACTGCATTTGTTTATAGGCTTGTTTGTAGATTGGAGCTCTGTGACTGCCCATGAAGTCACTAACTTGTTCGAAAGAAACTGGATGGTCTGTTTTTACTGAATACAGAGTTGTTCTACCTCCTGCTTATTTCTTCCTCCCTCAGATCTGTTTGAAATGCAGTATGCCTTACACTCTTTCCTCCACCTAGCTCAGCACTTATGCAGATAGTCTGCTCCGGATTACTTTGCCCCATGCATGCATTTCCAACTGCAGTTCTTTGCCCACAGCCCCCTACGCTATGTAAATCTTAACCATTTTTCAAGTCAGAGCAACTTCTACTCCATCAATAACGTCTTTGCTGACTATTTCAGACACGCATATTTCTCCCCATCTGGAGTCCTATAGCCTTCTGATCTTTTCTACTGGACATATCATCCAGCACTTTAATGTCTACTTTTTACTGGTAACGTCATGCATCATAGCCTGCCTTTGTAACTAGGCTTTTCAATTCTGGTAAGCAAGAATTCTGATTCCTAGCTAACCCATATCTCTAATAGCCACTAATAGCATACTAAGTGCTTAGTAAATATAACCTAATCTATTGATCAAGATGAGCAGGTTGTTGTCCGAGTATTACCTTTGGTCTGACTACTGGAGTTACCCTTTCTAGTCATTTGTTATTAGGAATTTTCTTAGGATGGCATGCTTCCCTGTTCTTTCTCTGCCCTGTTCTTGCCCACTTCAGTTCTCTGTACACCTGTCACCCCTCTGATTCTGCAACTATCAAGCAGGACAGAGCTGGGTTTGGAGAATCTTCTGGTTTGTAGGCAGCCTCCAGGATTTTGTTTTTCTTAGTGCTTTTCCCTGGAATAATTTCATCATCACCAACTAGGAAGCAACCTTGAAAGCTCATCTCATTTGTCTCCATGCCTGTAGGCAAAACAACTCTTTGAACTCATCATTCAGATTAGTATCAGGTCCCAGGCCAAGAACCTGAAACAGGTGTAAAGTGGATTAGAGAACATTTTATTGGACAATGGCAAGAAAGAGTCCAATATTTATCTTAACGTTAAATTCTCTGGACACTGGAAAACCTATTCAGATTAAGACGTTATAGCTGTGATGTGTGGCCCCACAAGCTTGTTTGTGTTTCTGCCCACATAAAAGTAAAAATAGAAAATAAAATTAATGATAGACTCAGAGCGCCTGTGTGGTGCAGTCGGTTGAGCGTCCAACTCTTGGTTTCGGCTCTGGTGGTGATCTTGGGGCCCTAAGACTGAGCCCCGCGTTGGGCTCCACACTCAGCATGGAGTCTGCTTGAGATCCTCTCTCCCTCTCCCTGCCCCTCCTGCTTGTGCTCTCTCTCTCTAAATAAATAAATCTTTTTAAAAAAATAAATGACAGAATCAATCATATAATGATGCTTTAGTGGAAAAAAATTCATGTTTGATGTTTTAATAGCGTTATCTATTTAATGTATGTAATGATTTGTCAGTATATTATCCCTTTACATTCCAAAACTAAAGTCGCACTTATAATTTTTCAGCTTCGCAAGTCTGTTTTCAGCATAAGGGCAAGGAATCTTCTAGAAAAGGAGACTGCAGTCACTAAAATCTTAAGGTAACACCATCAAACATTGATACATATTTAAACAAGTGGGATTATATTAAGCAAAGAAGAGATCTTTCTTTTTAATGAGCTAATTTTCTGAGTATCAATACACACTTTCCACTGGAAATTAGATTTAGGTAACTATATACTTCTAAATAATGTCAAATACATCATTAATATTTTTCCTGGAAAAGTAATATTTTATTAGCTCAGTCGTGCATTTCTTTTCTTTTCATGCACTCACACATAAATTGTAAGTATAAACCTTTACAAAAAGATGAAAATAACTTTTATTCTTCCATGTTTTATGTCTTTTGTGATACCTGAGGGACAAATCACAATCTAAGGGGAAAATGGTAAAAGGGTAAGCTTTTTAGAAGTAATTATGATTTATTAATCTATTAAGAATAAATGTATTTAAAATCTGTAAGACTCAAAAGCATATCCATTTTAAAATGCTTATGAAAACATACAACTTTAATGTTACTTTCTTAAACCTGCCTTGATAAAGTATCAGAAAGGAACATCAAGCTAGCTACTTAATAAAGAGTATTTTAGAAGACTGTGTCGTAATATGAAGTAACGTGATCTTTATAAAAATGCATGAGCATTTGGAATGTAATTTTTTGGCAGATGTATTACACAGACATGTGTAATTATACAACTAAATATTGGGGGGCTGGAAGGAGAATGGCTGACAAGATGAATGGATGAATTTTATACCGGGAAGCCCCCTCCAACTTGTGCTGAGGGGAAGGAGTTAGACTCTCCTGTTCGACCTCTTCTCCAGGAATAGTCATTAAAGAGTTTTTGCCAGAGTGTATATCACTATAACCTGGATAACCGTAATGAGGAAATAAGGCTAATATACATGGCTTGAGAAGCTATTTTGAGTTTATAGCAGTACCTGAAATTTGTATACCAAAAATGATCCTAACTAGTCAAGACAGTATTTTGTGTATTCATTCTTTTATTGGCTGACAATTCACGCATAAATATGAGTATGCGTTGGGAGTACCTTTTATGAGAAGAGAATAAATGTTTCTGGGGCTTGTATATTATCACCACAAAATATAATAGGATGAATCTAAGAGGTCTGGTTGACATAGAGAAAGAAAAACTTCTCAGCACATTTGTAACAACCTGTGTCCCAATTTCGGTTTGCTTCCAACTGGCTCAGTCCAACTGCCATCAGATAACATCATGGGGCCGGCCTTGAACACTACATGGTTCTCCAGGGTCTTTATCAAGCTGCAGGTACTACACTAGACAAATTCCTGGCAGCATCAATCCTTAGTGTCTTGAAGACGCTCCCCTGTTCACACAAGACAGACAGTGTGCGGGTCCAGCCCCACAGCCACACTCACAGGGGAGAGAATTCAGCCCAAAACCTACAACACCCCATGAGGGGAGTGTAATACTCCGGCCTGTATTCAGAGTCTACCTGCCAAATTCGGAACCAAAATGACATTACTCACCTACCCAGAATAACTACCTTCCTGAATGTGCCCTGGGGGTTCCCAGAGACTTCCAGAGCACAGGCAGACAGGGATACTTAGAAGAAGCCACTTCTAGAACCTTGCTTCCCAATGAACTCTTTCTTAAATTTGGTCTTCCAGTTTTCCTTTTCCACCACCTTTTTCTTATTCACCTGCTCCTAGTTTACAAAAGAAAGGGGAGACTCTCATCCACACACAAGAAATGTGAAACTGTGGTGCTTATTGATCTGGGTTGCTAAACATAAGGAGTGTTCCCATGCGGCTTTCTCCAGAAGGGGGATCCCCCTGGGCAGCATCTTATTGTCTTATCGTCTATCCAGGTGACAAGTGTTTGGAAAACCTCCCTCCAAGAATTCATCTACCTTAGGGATAGGCCTTAGGAATAATGCAGGTGTCTCAAGGGCGTGTGTTAACGCATTATATGATTTGAAAAATAAAGTCAGACTTTTTCTGACAGATTTGGCTCATTGGCTTGACACTGAAGGCTGACTTCATGGTGCCCAAAGTCATAAAAGTGAACGCATTAGATGAATAAGACTCTCCAGTGTTTTCTCAAAGTCATATTGAAGCACAGATATGATAATGCTAGAAACCACATCCTTTACTGCTAATTAACATTGTGAGGGGGAAATTTAGTTGTTGATTTTTAAATGTTCAGAAGTGGTTTTAAAAAGAGAAAATTTAAAGAGAGAGAGAGAGAAAGAGAGAGAGAAAATTTGTGGGGGTACCTGAGCCAAATTTTTAAGACCATCAGGGAATAGGGATGCCCTTAGACTTGCCCAGTAATTGTGTGGTTTCAGGGACACCCAGAGCCATTGGCATTTTAGGACAGCCCAGCACACCACAAAATGAAAGGCAGCTCCCTGGGGGTGCTGTTACCCAGTCAATCTCAGGAAATAATACCCTACAATTGGAAAAATTAATTTTCCAATTTTTACAATTAGAAAAAAAATTAAGATTTTTTTTTAAGAATACAAATTTAATCTTTAGAAAAGCCATTTAGCTCTTTCCTCCTGTGAAAATGATTTCCTTGTTGGTGCTACATTAGTCTGTGCAAGAATTAGGGACAAGATGTCAAACTGATAGTTTGAGTGTGCTTCTCTTTTTTCACTCATATTATAGCAATAGCAATAATCATATAATAATAATATCATACCTGCATTATAACGTAACCCATAAGTAAGAAGGTCAAGAATAGATCGGGTCCATGTCTGTGGGTCCATGGGCATTCTTCTACGCTGTTTTCCAAGGAGCAACAACAACTGAAAAGAAAAGGAAAGAAGAAAGGTTAAGAGAAATTAAAAGAAAGAAAAGGAGAACATTTACTGTCACCTCAGGACAACTAGCCCTACACAAAACAGGGAAGAAGGAGAAGTTTCTACCATTCTTTCAGGGTAGTCTTACTCCCTGGGGAGACTCTTCTCCCCTAGGCTTAGTCTCTTTGTTCATGAAACTACAGCATTCTTGGGTAAGTTAGAAGTAGAAAGACAGATGCTGTATGATGTCAATTACATGTGGAATCTAAAAAAGTCAAACTCATAGAAACGGAGTAGATTGGGGATTGCCAGGCCCTGGGGCATAGGGCAAATGGGGAGTTGGTGGTCAAAGGGTACATATCTCCAGTTTTAAGCTGAATAAATTCAGGGATCTAATGTACAGTCTGGTGACTCTAGTTAATAATACTGTATTGTAGACTTGAAACTTGCTAAGAGAGTGGATCATAAATGTTCTCACCATACACACAAAAAAATCATAATTATGGAAAGTGATGAATGTATTAACTATCATCATTGTGATCATTTCACAAGATATGCACACATCAGGGGCACCTGGTGGCTCTGTCAGTTAAGCAGCTAACTCTTGGTTTCGGCTCAGGTCTTGATCTCAGGGTCATGAGCCACTGCATCAGGCTCTGCGCTCAGCTTGAGATTCTCTCCCTCATTCTCCCTCTGCCCCTCCATCTTGTGCGCTCTCTCTAAAAAATAAATAAAACAAATCTTTTAAAAAGTATATACACACTTCAAATCATGTGGTACACCTTATATTTACACAACATTATTTGTCAGTTACCCCTCACTGAAGCTGGGGGAAAATGGCCTCTCCCATGACCATTTGCGTTTTGAAAGGGAGGTTTTGAAAGAAGGAGAGAACGTTAAGACAAGGAGGTGCAAGTTTCGTGTCTTCATGGATGGGTCTGCCTTGATCCAGAAGAAAGAAGTCTAGCAGAGACTTGTTTCAGTACTCTGTCACTTGTAATTTTCCTGAGTCTTTTATTTTCATAGCCTTACTGTCCTCAGTTTCACTGAAGAGGTTCCTCCCCAAGGAGGCAGGAGTGCATTCTAGGAATGTCTCATTAGAGAAAGACCTTAGCTGAATCATTTTGGCAAATATGTCACAGGTGGGTGTGTGTCCTGATTTGGGTGCAGATGGAGATAAGTCACATAAACTTTAAATCCAATGGTAAGTGGGGAAGATATTACGAAATACTAGTGTCTTAGAAATAACTTTTAAAAATAACAAATATTTGGGGAAAATAATACAAAACATATCCCTAATCTAAGGTAAACAGGTAAATTATTTAAATCCCCAGTTTTCTGACAATTTAAGGATTGGAGGAAGTAATCCTCAGGGTCACCATAGTTCTAACGTAAGCTACTGGACTTGGTGTCAGAAGGCCTGGACCAGCATCTGGCTCGGCTCCTCCATAACCTTAAGCAACTCACTTACCTGCCTTTGCAGTGTAGACTGCCCCAGTTGGATGTCTGAACAATCTATTGGTTAATCAAAGTGAGATTTAATACTTATTATAGTGAGGGAGACCACCACCTCAGCACTCTTAGTAATGTCTCACAAGGGATAGGTCAGGAGTGGATAAGTATAAGGTTTTCGGTTTGGGGTGGTTTTTAGTGATTGAGATCGGGCAAGATTCTTGCTGTAAGAGTTTAGATCGTTTCACAATATATACAAACATCGAATCATTATGTTGTATACCTGAAGCTAATAGAGCGCTATATGTCAATTATACCTCAATTTAAAAAAAAAAAGTTTAGGACTCTCCAGGATACACAGTACTTATTATGGACAGGTAACCATTACTATTCTGGGGTTGGGGTCACAGAAGAGGGGACATCCCTTGGCCTCCCCTGGGGTCAGGGCACAGTGGAGGGCACATCCCTTGGTCTCCCCAGGCCCCCAGTGTTCTTTCCACCTGCTCTGGCTCCACAGTTCAGTTGTCAGTTGTTCCAATGGAGTTTGCTCCTCTGTTTTTCTCTTTCCTTCCTGATGTGGGGTAACTTTCTGCTGCCCAGAAGTCTATTCTATTCTGTCTTCTGAATTTTTAACCATCTCCACGCATTACCTTTAAAAATAAATTGCAAGATTTTTAGAAAAGCATTTTTTAAAAAAATGTTTAGGATTGATGGACCAAGCTGGGCAGGGTCTTGGCCTGAGTACCAATTATTTTTAGGAGATTGGTTTGACCAGTTGAGTGATATATTATCTAGAGGCAGG